ACTTAGAACAAGCTTTGAAGCACAGTGACCACAGTTCAATCCCCAGCACCACATGCCAGCCAGCCCCGCCCCCTGGTGGGCTGAGCTGGCCACACACACACACACACACACAAATAAATAAATTAAAAAAAAAGAAAAAGAATTGAGATGAGTTGTGTACACGTGCTGATTCTCTATGATGAAAGCAATCATTATGTACTGCAAATATGTACTACTGTAAATAAAAAAATTTAAAACTATAATAACAAAGATACTTCTTCATAGAGTTGTTACTTGTACCCAAGGGTTCTGTCACACAGTTTGCAACAGCAAAATATTGGAGAGCATTTTAATGTGGCATAGGTAAAAAGCAATCTCTTCTACAGAATTATTAATGTCAATGTAAGCAAACAACCAGGGTGACATGGGGCAATATGAACCTATGTCAACCTGAAACAGCAAAGAAATAGCCAGTAAGATAACTCAGTGGACTAAGCAGCACCTGCTTAGGCAAGCGTGGGAGCCGGGATTCAATTCCCAGCACCACATGCTGTGCCAGCCCCTCTGCCCGCCCCCCGGGTGCACTGAGCCAGCCACTGAGACCCAGCGTGGTAGTGCAGGCCTGTAATCTCAGCTCTGGGGAGGCTGAAAGCAGGAGGATCACTGAGTCTGAGCTGCGTAGTGAGACCTTGTACCAAATACATTAAAACAAATATAAAAATCAAAAAGAAAAAATGGGGCTGGGGAGATGGCTCAGTAGAATAAGCGCTTGCCTGGCAAGCACAAAGGCCTGAGTTCAATCTGCAGTTCCGCCAAAAAGCCAAACAAACAAACAAACAAACAAAAAAAAAACCAACCAGCAAAAGAAGAAAGAAGTATCATTTGAATTTTTTTTTTTCGGAACCAGGGATTGAACTCAGGCCCTTGCACTTGCCAGGCAAGCACTTATTCTACTGAGCTATCTCTCTGGTCCCTATCATTTGAAATTGAATGATCTCCACTATATGAACGAGAGGGATAATCCTCAAACTCAGGATAGACTGATCGAGTCTGGGGAGAGGAAAAAAAAAAAAGCATAGAGTAAGTAGCCAATTGATCATGAAATTTTCTTGAATGATGAGATTACTGATTTGAGTGACTGACTATACTGTGAATCAAACCCAGGGCCTTTGCACTAACCTAAGACATCCCCATCCATTTCTTAAAAATTTGAGACAGGATCTCACTAAGTCATTGAATGGCCCTGGCTGAACTTCTTTGGGGGAGGGGGAAGGTTTATTTGGCTCACAGTTTAGAGTGGTTTCAGTCCATCATGATCTGGCTCCAAGTAGGGGGGCGTGGCAGGCAGAGGAGAAACAGTCTATGGCAGGCAGGAGGTAGCAAAGGCTGGACTTGAACTTCTTTTTTTTTTAATTTTTTTTTTTATTTTAAGATCTTTTATTTATTTATTTAATTTCATTTATTTTGCGTGTGTGGCCAGCTCAGCCCACCAGGGGGCGGGGCTGGCTGGCATGTGGTGCTGGGGGATTGAACCGTGGTCCCTGTGCTTTGCTTAGCTTGTTCTAAGTAGGTGCTTTAGACCACTGAGCCATCTCACCAGCCCTGGACTTGAAACTTCTGATCCTCCTGCTTGAGTTTCTCAGTGCACAACCACATCTGACTTAATTTTAATATTTTTGCATAGGGATATTTTCTGATTTCCATAGAGTGAACTTGTATAACTTATGCAATCTTCTGAGCTCTGAGAACATCCCCAAACAAAACAATAGGAAGGGCATCCTGGCAGAGACAATAGTGCAGACAAGGGCCTGGCAATGGAAAAGCTGCCAGTGCCTGGGCACCAGACGAGGGGGCAATGGGAAGAGAAAGTGCTGGGGTGGAGCCCACAGCACACCGCGTAGGATGAGGGTCCCAGGACCAAGGAGCTGCGGTTCAACCTTAAAACTTTGGGGCCACTAATTAGGGACCATTCCTCTGCGCAGCTGCAGGCATGTTCCCAGCTGGCTGCGTGGGATTTTCCTCATCTGGGATTTCCATTTCAGTGAGATCTAGGAACAACAGCAGAAGTGTGTTGTGCCTGCTGAAGTGGCTCAGGCTGTCTCCTACTTCAGTGCCAGGCTGGGCTGCACCCAGGATCAGGGTGGGGGGGTGCCAGCTTCCCCACTCTAACAGTCTAGGGCCAAGCAGGAAAGACCGAGGCAGGTCTCAGCTTGGCTGGTTTACTCTTTAATGCCATGAGCTCAGCCCTCGGGCCCAGGAGAGTTCCAAGAGGCCTGAAAGATGCTTAAGACCTGAGCTAAGAATTCTAATGACTCTAAGTACCCATTACCACTATCAAAATAACATGCACACCCTGAGGATTGAGATCATTTTAATTGCAAAAGTAGAAAAACAATTCTTGCTTATAGCAAAACATTACATATTTGATACGGGGTGTGGATGTATTTTAAAATGTTTGATAAGCTGGGCATGGTAGTGCAGGTCTGTAATCCCATTACTAGGGAGGCTAAGGCAGGAGGATGCTGTGAGTTCAAGACCAGCCTGGGCTACAATGTGAGCTCAAGGTTTGCCTCATAGGAGAACTGAGCATGGTGGTGAATGCCTATAGTCCCAGCACTTGGGAGGCTGAGGCAGGAGGATTACCGTGGGTGCAAGGCCAGCCTGAGCTACATGACCAGACTCAGTCTAAAAATAAAAAAGGAGAAATTGAGTTTCCAAAGAAAATAATACTGTTCACTTTAAAACAGAGTGCTGGCGTGGGGTGTAGGTCAGGGTCAGAGCATCTGTCTAGCATGCACAAGGCCCTGGGTTCCATCCAAAACAAAACAAAAATACCTGCCCCCCAAAAAAAAGAGAAAGCAAGGAAGGCCACATGACAACCCCGTGTGCTCACCCCATGAGAAGAGTCCCCTCACCCAGATAGGAGAAGTGGCAAACTGAGTCAACCTCTACATTTTATCTTTTTTTTTCTTTTTCTGGTACCAGGGATCGAACTGAGGACCTTGCGCTTACTAGGAAAGCACTTATTCTGCTGACTATCTCCCTGGCCCTCTTTTTAAAAAATTATTTATTTATTTTTCATTCATTCTGAGTCAACCTCTACAGCAAGTCAGAGGTCCAAAGGAAAAGCAAAAGCTGAACAGAAAACTGGGTGCTTCTGTTTCACTGATAACTAGAGACGACGTGCTACACCACAGTGCGTCAGCCCATAGTATGCGCTGAAGCCAGAGGGGATGACTTGGACCCCACAGCAGCGCCGTGTGCTCGTTGCCCTGGTGCTGTTCACGTAAGGCTCCTGGGCTTGCAGCTGGGCTTGCGTTTCACTTGGTTTCATGCCTGTACAAGATACCAAGGCATTTGTTCCAAGTTTTATGTTGAAAGAACAACGCAGTAAAATAATCTGTAATTGGTGCTGCTGGCCGAGAGCATCTTTGTCCTTTTTTTTTTTGGAGGGGGCACTGTTTGTGAAGCTTAGGAAATGCTGCTGCAGGGGCTCACAGGGACCCACAAAAAGGCCCCAGGTTGGGGCTGTGTTCTGGAGGCTGACAGCCAGAGCAAGGCTGGAGTGATGCTCAGACTGCTGAGGGTGGTGGTGGTGGGGTATTTATTGACCCCATAGTGCCAAGGGCCATGGTTGCCACAGGAACCTGCCAACTTGCTGTCAGACAAGAGGCCTGGATCTCCCTGCTAAAGACTGAGATACATCTGTCAGGACTCCACAGGCGGCAGTGGGTAGACTCTGCACGTGGAGTATTTGCAAATAAGGGAGATGCCTCTGTCTCCTCCATCCTCGCCCATCCTTCAGTCATCAGCTGTGCTGCTGCCCCAGCCCTGACCGCCCCCCCGCCCCGTTCTGCACTGCCTCAGTTGTCCCCATGCCCAGCAAGAGCAAGGGTTTGCAAAGCCGGAGACTTTGTGTTCCTAGATTTCACAGTACAATTGAGAGCAACATGCCCACATTTCCCACACATCCCTGCCCCACACATGCAGTCTCCTCCGTCACCACTGCCTCCCAGGTGTCCAGCGCATCACAGCGGATGAATAGACACCACCTGGGCTCTGTCACCCAGCGTCCTTGGGACATTAGGGCTCTCTTGGTGCTGTGCAGCTTATGGGGCCAGAAAATGTGTAAGCACCTGTGTCCCTCGTGGAAGAAGTTCATTGCCCTAGAAACGCTCTGTTTCCTGCTTGCTCCTTCCTTCTCCTCCACCCCTGGAAACTTCTGAATCTGTTACTGTCCCCATCATAACTTTGCCTTTCTGGAGTGTCACACAGCTGGAATCCTACAGCATGGTCTTTCCCTGTCCTCTGTTCATTTAGTTATAGGGTTTCTTAGTGTCCTCCTATGGATGGAAGGCTGGAAGGATGGATGGATGGATGGATGGATGGATGGATGGATGGATGATGGATGGTTAGATGGATGGACAGTTGGACGGACGGTTGGATGAATGGATGGATGCATGGATGCATGGATGGATGCATGGATGAGTGGATGGGTGGATGGATAGATGGATGCATGGAAGGATGGATGCATGGGTGGATGCATGGATGGGTGGATGGGTGGATGGATGGATGG